TAGGGTTTAGGGTTTAGGGTTACTATGTTTCCTTTAGGTAATCTGGGTCCCAGGTAGGGTTTTAAGGGGTTTTGGATTCGCGAGTGCTTTGGGGTTTGGGATTTGGGTAGGGCCCGGGCCAAGGGAGTTATTTGGGGGTTTAGAGTTTAGCGTGTTATTGTGAAGGTTTTAGGGTTTGAGGCTTTAAAGGTTTAGGGTTCAGGGTTTGAGGCTTCAGGGACCTGAAGGGTTTAGGGTTTAGGGTTTAGGGTTTAGGGTTTTAGGGTTTAGGGTTTAGGGTTTTAGGGTTTAGGGTTTAGGGTTTAGGATTCTAGTATATAGCCCAGCCCGGAAGAGCTGGTCAAAATACTATTGCTCCTCGATAATGATAAGCACTCCATACTATCTCGGGGTCTCATCGGTTAGCATATGACAGGTACCTACTTGAGGCTATGTGCAGTGTTAGAGTTGTACGTGAACTCCCGAAATCCCCGGATTCGATCTTCAGCAGCCCAAGACAAGAACCAGGCCGGCAAAACTGTGGCTGCTTGCATCGCAGGCACGATGATCTTAGTTCACCGATGTAAGTGCCAGGCGGCTCCAAGTATTTATAGCGTGCACATATGTAACCCTGAAAACCTAAAGATAGAGCATGCATGCTGACGGGTATTCCGCCGAGCTATAGACACTATAGATGATCAACCGCTATACAAGGTCACAGATTTCCTCATAGTTTTGAAAGACCACGTTCTTGTACACAAAGGTAAAGGGCCTTTGAATCACAAGGAAGGTTTAAAACCCTAAACACTTATTCCATAAACCCTACACCCAAGAAAGGTTTCGGAAGCATCCTTGAACCATCGACTTTCTGTCGACCCCCTTCTAGAGATGCACTGCCCCAAGCCAGGGTTTTGGGTTTGGAGGTGTTAGGGTTCAGGGTTTTAGGGTTGACCCGAAACCCTAAACCCTGAACCCTCAACCCTAAACCCTGAACCCTAAACCCTAAACCCCGAACACTAAACCATTAACCCTGAACACTAAACCCTAAACCCTAAGCAGATGCGGTCCACGGCGGTCAACCCTGAAGGTAACTGCCCAGGCCTGGGCGAAAGCCTGGGCTCTCCGCCCTCGCCGCAGATGCCCCTCGCAGGGACCTACAGAGCCCAACACCCCTTAATTAAGGAATATACCTTGAACCATAGCATTCAGGCCCCCCCTCCGCCCCCCGATAATTTATGGTATATTAGTTAAAGCCAAAATATTCAGGCCCCTATAGTTTTAGGTTTATTCCTTAAACCACAATATTCAGGCGCCTAAAATTTAAGGCAAATTCCTTAATTAAGGGAACAAGCCCATCAAGGAGGACTGAAGGTGCATGCAGGTGCTTCAGCTTGCAGTGCACGTCACAAGATGGCTCTGCAAAACGCATAGCTCTCGAAATTTGATAGCAACGATGGTGCAACGCACCCGACGGCCTCTGAAGAGCCGGAAGATCAGGCTGTGCAAGATTTGCGCGCACCTCACGTGTGCCTGGCCCAGGGCATAGGATTGATTTAGGGTTTAGTGATTGGGGTTTAGGGTTTAGTATTTAGTGTTTAGGATGTAGGGATTGGGATTTAGGGTTTAGGTTTTAGGGATTGTGGTTTCCAGTGTAGATACTCGGGGTGGGTTCCACATTAAGAATACCTTACCAAGAGTCCTTCTGCCACCATATGCCCTTATGTCGCGCTGTGGAAATAGAAGCCCATCCGCTACAGCCCGAATCCTTTACCCTCGTTTAGGGATCCGGGGTTTGGGGTTTCAGTTTCTTGGGGATTAGGGTTTAGAGTTTCGGGTGTTTGCGGCTTAAGAGTTGTTGGGTTTATTTAGGGTTCACATCAAAGTTTTCAATGTAAGTGGCAACCTGTTGTCTGGTTTTATGAACACCATGCTGGCAAGCAGTTGCCAGCCCTTCCCAGTGTCGTGGTATACTTTCACAGCCGTAAACCTTCACCACCCTGCGCCATGTATGTTTCAAACCCTAAACCCTAAACCCTAAACCCTTAAACCATATAATTTTCCTGAACCCCAGATCCCCAAAACTTAAACCCAGCCCCTAACCTTAAAGCCCTGAGCCACAACAGCAATTCGAAACCAAATCCAGACCAAAAGTATTAGGGTTTAGGGTTTAGGGTTTAGGGTTTAGGGTTTAGGGTTTAGGGTTTAGGGGTAGTAAGCTCCTTGGTTCATGATCACCCGGAGATAACACGTGAGTAGTCTAGGGCCCTTTTCACATCCCCAATATAGTACGGCACCCGTTATCAGAAGGACCCTAAAAGGTACCGTAATTTAGAGAACTACCCACTTCATTCCCCCTGCGGCGGGGTTATTCCCAAGGTCCCTGCAAAGGAAGGGCCATGGGCAGCACCTCCTTGATCCCGACTGAAAATCGAGTCAGCTACCGGGAACCACGGTGTTTGAACAACTGCAATCAGATCCCAAGCTTTCGGCCGTTGCCCCTAAGCCCTAAAGATTAAAGCCCTAAGCACCAAGCCATAAACCCTGAACCCTGAAGCCTAAACTGAAGGCCCGTAAACTTAATCCAATCAAAGTATGGATCCCAATCCCAACCCTAAACCCTAAACCCTAAACCCTAAACCCCTTGTCCGCAGGCTGCCGGCCACGACAGAATGTTGCCAAAGGGAGTCGCTTGGCCTTACGAGTTCCTCAGGCTTGGCTTTCAGCTGCTTGTGTGGAGACCCTGAACCCTAAACCCCTAAATCCTAAACCCTTATTAAATCCTAAACTTTAATGAAACCCCTAAATCCGAAACCCTAAATCCGGAACCCCTAAATCCTAAACCCCTAAGTAAATCCTATCCGAAACCCCTAAATCCTAAGCTTCGGACTTCTACGGTTTGCAGGGGTGAGGTTTTAGAGGCTGTGGCAGGTTCCTGTGGCGTCCTAGTGAACAGTGCGCCTTAGGTTTAGGGTTTAGGGTTTCGGGATTGACGGTTGAGGGGGTTTGTAGAGGGTTAGGGTTTACAGGGCTTACAATGGTCTAGGGCCTAGGGAGGTATTTGTTGGGGTTCGTGGGCTTCTGGAGAATGGCTTGTTTTTTCTCAACAATTTCCCAATACACCCCGAATCCAAACACAAGACTGAAGTGCTTTATGAAAGACCGTTTGCGTTTTGTCGAGAGGGGGGGTGTGGAAGCAAATCCGAAGACTGACCACAAACCTGCCACGTGAGAGAAATGGGAGGGAACTGACGATCAAGATCTACATGCACATTCTACGGCGTTGTTTAGATATGGGTGCTGATCAGAAAAACGCGGACGACTGCCTGAGACAGATGGAACACTTGATACTTACCTGTTTTAGATCCTCGGCTTCATTTTCTTCTTCAGTTTTCTTCAGATGATACATGTACATCTGCGTCCAAATTTCGTCCATGTGTTGGTAAGTAGTAAGAAATTCGAAATTTCAACCCACATACTTACCAAACTTGAAGAGCTCGACGGAAATTTCAACAATATTACCATCGTATCTCCATCTTGTGCAAGCTGCCTCAGATTAGATACTGACCATCTCCTCTGCTTCAACTCCGGGTTCACCTCTGTCAACGCCACAGTTTAGGGTTTAGGGGTTTGGGGTGTCCCCATCCGTATCAGTAACATCAGCACCGTCACCATCATCAAATACAGCTGCTACTTCAGTAAGTTGGTCATACAACAACCATCATTCGTGTAATCATTGGCTGTTCCCCGGTCCCCAAAGCACACCCTCAAACGCTAAACATCACGCAACCCTACCCTCAGCCTTATGATGTTCTTCTTCCACTCCCTGCATGTTAACTACCCCTTACGGGGGTTTCCGAAAATAGGGGACCCTAATATAGTACCCTAATGAGTAGGATCCTTATAACAAACCCCTAAACGGCCCTAAACGGCCCTAAACCCCCAACCCCTGAACCCCTGAACCCCTAAACCCTAAACCTTAAACCCAAACCCCTAAACGGCCCAACACCCTAAACCCTAAACGGCCCTAACCCCCTAAACCCTAAACGGCCCTAAACCCTAAACGGCCCTAAACCCTAAACCCCTATAAACGGCCCTAAACCCTAAATCACTAAACGGCCCTAAACCTTAAACCCTAGACCTCTGAACCCTAAAACTCTAAACCCTAAACCCTAAACCCCTTAACGGCCCTAAACCCTAAACCCTCAACCCTGAACCCCAAAACCCAGGGTTTTTGGTTTCGGGTTTGGGGCCCTGAACCCTCAGCCCTAAACGGCCCAGAAACTGCAAGTGGGAGCCGGAATACCCGCGGGAATGGGCCGGCTCGCGCGCTGGACCCGAAAAGGGCAGGGGGGGGCTGCGTTTAGGATGTGGGGTTTAGGGCCTAGGGTTTAGGGTTGAGGGGCTTAG